ATGACTGATTCCCTGGACGAACAGTGGTACAGCCCAGCTAGCTCAGGATCCCACCCCTCTTTCCGTTTCATGGGGAATGTGGTGCCACGACCAGTTACAGATGCGAAGTCTCGGTGGAGACGGGAACCGCAGCCCCTGCCCTGCCGCTGCTTCTTTCATCGTTTTACAAAGAGAGAAGCACTGTGTTAGGAAAAGGCAGCATTGAAAGGGCGCATTCATTCACTAATTCATCTCCAACATGACAAACTTAACCCTCTGCAGATTTTGAAGAGCGTTATCCCAGGATCAGCTTGATAATCCCCTTGCTTTGTAAACACGATACCGCGCTACGGCACTGGATAACTAGCTGTGTACTAGCTTACTTTTATTTCAGTTCTTTCCATGGCCAAGAAGAATAGACGGAGGAATGGGAAAGTTCAGCTATTTGGCGGGGGGTGGGGGGAGGCAGGGGCAGAGGAGCTTCTTTTGCATCTCATAGACACTCGGAAAATATTTTCTTTTTTCTTTCCATCTGGATTCGCACAAACACCTTTCCCCATCCCAGTATGATTTGTTTTCTCTCTCTCTCCAAAGGCACCCTTTATGGCAGCCTTCCCTCTTCAGAAACCCTCCAGATGTTGAGGACTACCCACCCCATTATCCCCAGCCAGCTCAGGGAGGGCCGCTTCGGAGAGCTCCCTCCACACAGAATCCTGGGAACATTCCACACTGTATTTAGATCACTTTCAGGATCATTTCCTTATCTCAAACCAACTTAGGGCCCGTTAGGAATATGAACACTACAATCATATCAAAGATAACAAGAAAGAAACCGCCTTCCCCACCACAGCCTAAGGGGACGTGCAATACGCAGAGCGTGTGCTTCCTGTGCAGAAACTCTCTGGTTCAGTCTAGGTTCCTTCCAGGATCTCAGGGAGCAGAGCTGAGGGACACCACTCCTTGTGGGAAGTCTACTGTGTGTGCTGGAACTGACACCAAAATATAAAAGGGTTGCATCAGAACGTCCCACATTGCTTCAGGACCCCTCGCTGCTGCTCGGGGCAGGGGCCTCCACGCCTTGAGGACACTTCCCTCTCCAAGGAGGTGGGGCAACATTTGGCTTGTGTTCCTGGGCAGCTGTGCAGATGTGGGACCAACCAGAGGAGAAGAGGACAACAGATCAGGCAGTGGAGGGAGGAGTCCCCCTGTCCAGATCTGCTGTTGAATAGCGCAAGTGCAAACTTCAGTTTGTGGCACTCCCCTCCCACCAGACGCACAAGAGGGACCACTACAGTAAATGCCAAGGTCACAGTTCTTGGGGAAAATGTTCCATTCGTGCATGATTTACATCAAGAGGATCATCTTTCCTGCCCATCATCGGCCGAAGAGGCCAGCCCTTTGGCCAGCCAGTCTGGCTGTGGATACAGCAGTCACCAGAGCATGCCTTAGGGGCAGTGGAAGCGGCCGTGAACAGAGTCAGACCTTGGTGCAGCTAGTCCAGGACTGTCCACACTGACTGGCAGCAGCACTCGGGGGTTTCAGGCAGGGGTTGCTTGTGCCCTTCCAGAGGATGCCGGGATCAAACCCTGGGGTCCCTGCAGGCCAGAGCGGCCCTCCATCACCGAGTGACCACCTTCTCCTTAGCACACCTTTCAGCCGTCGCAACTCTCACACGGATCATTTGCAAATCAACAGTTCAGATTTCACGCAAGAACCCTATAATTGTTTATACCTTTCTTCGCTTGGATTTAATGGGGCTCTTAAGAAAAATGATGGGAAAAAAAAACATTTGCATCTGTTGTATGACAGAAAACACGAGCCCACCATTGACATGTTGTTGTTCTGTACCATCAAGTCATCTCCAACTTGCGGCGATCCCACGAACGAAAGCCCTCCAATGTCCTATCCAGGACAGCCCTGCTCAGCTCTTCTAAATTCAAGAGTGGGGCTTCCATTAAGGAGTCAACCATCATGTATTTGACCTTGCTAACCTTAAGCCTAACACTAACCATCCTTATCAGCCCTCCTTATTGTCCTCACGGATCGATCGGATCGGCCAGAATTGACAAGCTTCCCCCATTCAGGACAAAAAGAACTTGAGATGTGGTCATGATGATGATGATGATGATGATGCAGCAGCAAGGAAGCATTGTTCAGCACGTGCCAGGACAATGCAGAGCACACCCAGAGCATAGGTTGTGCATGCAGAGGGTCAGGGGTTCAGGTGGTGGCACCTCCATTTAGAAGACTTCCTTGGGCAAGTGCCCTTATGTGGAGGACGTCTTCCCTAGCAGGTTCTCCACTCGAGGTGAAAAGTCTCGGCTTAGATGAACCAATAGTCGGACCTGGTGAAAGACAATTGCCAATGTGATGTTTGGATTCATGCTAGAGAAAGAAATGGGGTCATCCCTTTCCAAGCATTTGGCAAAAGGGTACAAAGGAGGGGTCTGAATGAGAGGGGCACAGTGGCTTGTGATGTTGCGCCAGATTGTGGGTGTGCACGATCACTGGAACAGAAACCTAACAGGTCAGGTCAGTAGCTCTGTTGCTCGCCCTTAGCGCAGTTTAGGTATGTATATATGTATTTAATTTTTATACTGCCCGTAACCGAGGCTCTCTGTTCTTCCTCTTGACGTTGGACTCGGACTGGCTGGCTTAAAGCATGGCTGAGCAGAACGTAGGTCTCCAGATGTGCTGGACCTCAACTCTCAGTGGTCAGGGACGTCAGGAACTGAAGTCCAAAACATCTGGCCGTCTCCTTTCCGCCCAGGCCTTGCTTCCTTCACATACTGCAGCCTTCCCAAACCCCCATACCGCTTACCCCACATGGCCGGTGGACAGGCTGATCAAGGTTTATGGGGGATGTCGTCCCGCACAGCCAGCTTCCAGAAGGCTGCCCATTGGAATGCATGGCCAGCCTAGAGTGCGGCTCCTGAGTACAAGAGCTCACCTTTAAGATGGTCTCTCGGCCTACTCAGGAGCTCCTTCTCAACAAGGCTGCCCAGGAAATTCACAGACAGTTGCTGCAGAGCTCCCTGTATGCTGCAGAGGATTCTAGGACGTACATCGCCTTACTTTAGGTGGGATGCTAGCCAGCCCTGCAGGGCCTTGCTGTTGTTGCCCCAGAAGAGTCGAGAAAGCATGGCCTGGGACAGCTGGGCACCTACCTCTTACAGGGGGTAGGTGGGTTTGCCCCACATGAGCTTGATGGCACTGTTGCCAGTGAAAGCCGACTTCGGCAGGCCCGCTCTTTAGAATCAACAACAGTCTCGGAGGCCATGCAGTCAGTCCACCTCTGCTGATCACTGCAAAGAGCTTGTGATGACACCACGGCCATCTAGCTGCTGTTCAAACACCTCCAGGGAAGAAGAGCCCACCACCTTCAGCGACACATCTCCCACCACCATCTCACGAAGGATTTCTAGCCATTTCCCCGACTCATCACATTTAGCCCTGAAGATCAGTGGCCTGGAGTACCTGTGTCCTTCACCTGAGACTGAACTCTGCAGGGAAAGAGGGGTAGTGAAAGGTGAGGTTGGCCACCATTAGTTATAGGATCTCCCAACAAAGACCTGGGCAACCTGTAGGGGACCCAGAACGTAATCAACCACAATGCAAACTAGCGTTTCTTTTGTTTTCCAATTCAGTTCTTGGTCATTTACAACCTGCACTGATGTCCACCCATCCACACGACCTCGCTCCTCACAGGTCTTACACTGAGATGTCTGAGGGAAGATGGGATGAGGTGGGGAAGTCACTGTGCATTCTGGAAAGAAAAGGAGTTATCCCAAGCAACTAAGACATGACTCCACCTGGTCACTAAAGGATCCCTGAGCATATTCCATGAGGGTTGAAAGAGAGATTTAGTAGCTGCTAACAGCCTCATTATGGTTTGGTTAAGAACACCTTGCCATTATCATCAAACTGAAGGCAACACTGCATTATCATTCTTATTATTTAATAAAATAGCACGGCATGAAAAATAACTCTCTCTCTCTCTCTCTCTCTCTCTCTCTCTCTCTCTCTCTCTCTCACACACACACACACACACACGCA